ACATACTAAAACGGAGATACTGTATACAAGAGATGCACCCCAGTTTTACCAAGGGGACAAAGGCCCAAAAGTTTTAGCTTCTTTTGAAGGATGGAAAAACCAGAACAGTAGTTCTTCTCATCTACATTTTCCAGTTCAGTCACTCTGCCAGAGTAGAAATGCAAATTATTTTTCAAGAAAGTCAACTGTTGGAGCAGCTAGCTACTAGACAAGCAGCCAACAAGAGTCTCTATTTTTTTTCCCACCATATGATCCTGGTAGAAAGTTACTGCAGAGCATATACACTCAATCAGGTTACTAGGAACCACCTAAAAGAGCAAGGTAAGTACACAGGGGTCTTTTGGTTTTTTTCTCAATCAACAGATCTATTAAGCCAATTACCCTTTCTTAGTCTTCATTTATTCGTCTATAAATTAAAGACATAAGACCAGATGATGCCTAACATCTTTTCCATCTTAAGGAATTACAAATTCCTTAAGAATTAAACTAAAACAAATTGGAACTAGCCTTAACTATCCTAATTTTATCAGTTTTTAATATTTTAAAAATTTAAATATTTTATTATTTATATATTTTAACATATTTAATATAAAGTATTTTATTTAATATATTTAATATAAATAAAGTATTTTATTTAATATATTTAATATAAATAAAATATTTTATTTAATTATTTAAATATTTTATTGTTTAAAATTTTTAACATTTTATTTTAATAAAATAAACATTAAGTACAAATGAACTTCATAAAATACTGGTCCCAATGACAAGTTCTTTCCTACTGTGGCAATAGGGTGAAGACTACTGGCTAAGAAAATATTTGATAATCTTTGTGATCACAGTGTTCAGCTTCTGCTCAAGCCTCCGACACTGGCCAATGTCCACTGACCAATGTCTATCTGGAGCTGTAAAAGTAATCTCTTCTTAAATATTTGATGTCGTGTTCCCCTTTGGTCTTCTGAACAAATTCAGTGACTCCTTTTCCTTTCACAGGTGTATCTAAATCTCCTTATAGGTATATATTTTCCCTGTTTACTGTGACTTCTCTAGTTTTCAAACTCTGTATCTGAATCCTTTCAAATATATTTTTAACTTCCTTTATTGCTTCTCTTTCTTTTTCTAAATGTATACTTGAATCACTTTTCAAATGTATATTATCAGCCTTCTGCAGTAGGATTACTTATGAGTACAAAGGCCTCCCTTCTGTGGATCTCAAAATAATTTCTGGAAAGGTGTATGTAGGGAAATCTTAATTTGTATAAGAGAGAACCTGTAAAATTGAGGTATAAGAACCAAAATGTGGCTGTAGTCACTCTTTTTATTTTTCCTACAGGCAGATCCCTAGTAAAATAGCAAAAGCCATAATTAAAATAATAAAATGTCTGTCGTCTTTTCCTCACTAAAATGAAGTACTCTGTCTACTAGGCTACATATCAGAAATGGAAAATGTGGTGTATCCCACCATCCCCAATCCCATCTGGCTAAGGCAGATGTCAACAGTCAATCAGCAATTTTCCTGCTGAGCTTAGATGGAGTTTACGAACATTTTATAATAAAGGGCATCAACTGATGGATTTAGTTCAGATTTTACTTGCTATTTTGTTATTATTCAGGCCATGGTTATAATATTGCTCACACATATATATGATAACTCAAAGAGTGTACCTGGATTGTTTGCAATACAAAAGATAAATGCTTAAGGGGACGGATACCCCATTCTCCATATGTGATTTTTATGTATTGTATACCTGTATCAAAACATCTCATGTATCCCATAAATACACATCCCTACTATGTACCTACAAAAATAAAAAAAACATATATATGAAAGATGGTATTTAAAATGATGCTGATACTCACAGCCAATCAGAGGAAACAAACCCAGTCAGGGTGTGTGTTTATAGCACCTACCTGGGCACCACTGTCATCTGAACTATCCCCAGAGCTCTGAGACTGAAGGAGGCTCTGATTTATACGGCTCAGCTCTTCTCTAAGCCTCACAACTTCCTCAGGCTTCATGGTCAACCGCTGTTCTTTTTCTTCATCTTTCATATCTTGATTCTGTTGTGAGCCCTCCTCCTTCTGTCCCTCTCTTGGAAAACTGCCCTCCTTTACTGACTCCTCTGGAATTTCCTTCTGCTTTCTTTCTCCTAATTTGGGACTTGGTGCAAATATAAAAATACAATCTATCAAAATGCTTATTATAGTAGTAGAATTGGGAGAAAAAAAGCTACAAGTCAAGACAGTATTGCAAACAAGATTTTCAACCTGAATTCTATAGCACAGCAGTCATCTTATTCTTAAAAATAAACTTTAAAAACATAAGTCAGTCAGGCACAGTGGTTCACGCCTGTAATCCCAGCACTTTGGAAGGCCGAGGTGGGCGTATCACCTGAGGTCAGGATACTGAAGACCAGCCTGGCCAACATGGTGAAACCCCATCTCTACTAAAAATACAAAAATTAGCCATGCGTGGTGGTGTACGCCTGTAGTCCTAGCTACTCAGGAGGCTGAGACATGAGAATCGCTTAAGCCCAGGAAGTGCAGGTTGCAGTGAGTCAAGATTGTGCTACTGCACTCCAGCCTGGGTGACAGAGTGAGACTCTGTCTCAAAAAATAAAAAATAAAAGAAAACCCACAAATGAGTCATATTTTTTACTTACACTCAGGGAGATGACCCATCATAGGTTTTCATTTATAGCCAAACCACCAGTTTAAATGAGTTTTATGCTTTTTCAACTTTTAGTAAGGCATTGAGCAGACACAGGTTATAATGATTTTAATAAGCACTGGCCACTTTGGCAGGCACTAGGGCTTCAGGAGGACATGATCTCTGTCCCAAGGAGCTTACAATTTAGTGAGAAATGAGTAGTAAGTAATACAAGGCCTGATGGATGAGTAGGCACAAGCTAAACAAATGTAAAGGGAGGAAGGAGTGTGTATGTACTTGCATGTATGTATGGATGTTGGGGAGGGTGGGTGTTGGTATAAATGAGAACATGAACAAGCAAAGGTGTTCCAAAATGATTTAATAAATAAGATATGTAAAACCCCGAAGTAAAAGAGAGAAGGTGCTTTAGAAAGATTATTTAGATGCCATGTGGCAGGGAAGCCATTTGACAGACTGTTGTAATAATCCATGTAATAAATAACAATAAATAAAACTATGATGAATTCTGGAGATATTTAAAAGACAGTATTGATAAGGTTTGTCATTTATTGGATGTGGCAGGTAAGGGAGAAAAATGAATCATCATGACACCAGGATTTCTGACTTGGGCAAATGGGCAAGTGGATGGTAGACCAACATGGGGGAATGTGGCCATAGACTGACTACAGAGATGTCTGTGGTGAGGATACAGACACAGAAGAATGTGAGCAGAAACACTGGGATTGGATAAAATGAACCAGGGAGAAGGGGGAAAGTAAGAGGAGGCAGATCATCCTAGAGAGAAGCCTAAAAACTTGTAAGGAACAAGTAGAGGAGGTGAAAGCCACAGAAACCAAGAGGAGAGAATGCACCTTCAATGGTTAGAGAGTGTAGATGACAAGGAGAATGAACACAAATATGCTGGTTTTATTTTTATTCCCTCAATCTTAAATTTTGTTTTGAGTACCTTGAAACCTAGCACAGCATGCTTCATAGATTATAGCTGGTGATCAGATTCTTCCAGAAAGCAATTTGGCAGTACAGATCAAGAGCCATGGCCGGGTGTGGTGGCTCACGCCTGTAATCCCAGCACTTTGGGAGGCGAGGTGGGCAGATCGCCTGAGGTCAGGAGTTCGAGACCAGCCTGGTCAACATGGCAAAACCCTGTCTCTACTAAAAATACAAAAATTAGCCAGGTGTGGTGGTGCATACCAGTAGTCCCAGTTACTTGGGAGGCTGAGGCAGGAGAATCTCTTGGACCCAGGAGGCAGAAGTTGCCGTGAGACGAAATTACACTACTGCACTCCAGCCTGGACGACAGAGGGAAACTTTGTCACCACACACACACACACAAAGTCATAAAAATGTTCATACTCTTTGAATAATTGCATCTGAATGAATTTACTGCAATAAAATAATTCATAAGAAGAAAAAAGATGACTATAATAATGCTCATACTAAACAGATATGGAAATGGCTAAAAGAATTAAAGATGCTTCAACTTAAAAGTGACCTCAAGAGTATTCATAAACATGAAAACTACTTATCAAAGTAAAATTGTGGCACAAAAACCAATAAACATATATGTATTCATGTGTGTATGTACATACATATATACACACTATGGGAAAATGTCTAGAAAAAGCTGGAAAGGAACAGGGAGAAAAATTGTATCTAGGGAGTGCTTTATTCCTTTTAAAATTCCTCTAATACTATAAAGAAAATAATTAAATATTTTATTTTGAATTTAGCAGTTTTAAAAAGACAATATATTCAAATGATGCAAAACAGTATGAGATAAAGGGTAAAATGCCTTAAATTTGTTTTTATAAAACAACAATGAAAGTTTCCATCATTTATAAACCCTTTTCCGTTTCTTATATCCAGTGGAAGCTAGACACACATTAAGACTGGGAAAATGCAAATGTATACTCTGTGTGTGTGTGTGTGTGTGTGTGTGTGTGTGTGTGTGTGTGGAGTCTCACTCTGTCACCCAGGCTAGAGTGTGGTGGGGCGATTATAGCTCACTGCAGCCTTGAACTCCCAGGCTCAAACAATCCTCCTGCCTCAGCCTCCTGAGTTGCTTGGATTACAGGTGTAAGCCACTGTACCAGTAGTTTCATATTTGTTTTAAATGGAGAAAATGGACTTTTTCTTTGAAAAAGATGAAGTAGACACACTTTCCCCCTATTTTTACCATTAAGTACAACTAAAAACCCTGAACATTATATATAAAGCAAACATTAAAAGACTTCGAAAGGTGGAGAGAAGAAAGCAGACCAGCTAGGGAACTCAAGACCCAAGGAATGACATGGCTGTGAGTTTCCTGGGTGTTCTTTTTGCCTCACAGATCCCTGAGTTGGAGCTGAAGAAGACAGCAACCCAGACAATGTCAACAAGCACAAGCAAAAACAGCAACAACAACACCACCAACAAAAGTCTGCCATCTTTAGCCAAAGCACCAGAAAAGGCCAAGGAAGAAACACAATTTTGGACAACACCTACCTACTCCAGCTGAACATCACAGAAAAAACTGTGGCTTCACCTCCACTCATGCCAGCAAAGCCCAAATTGGGAGCCTAGATTTCCACCCTCACCAGGCTGTAATAAGGGATTCCAATTCCTCGACTGGGGTGGTGTCAGAGAAGGTCAAGTAGGCACAAGGGACTTTTATCCCTGCCGGATAGTAAAGAGCTCCCCTACCCTGCAGTGTGAGGGGAGACCAGGTGGTGAGTTTGGAATTCCAACCCACGTAGAAGTGAGGAGGCACACTTCTCCCTTTCCACTGGGGTGGTGTCAGAGGAGGCCACCACCTAGCACAATAAGCCACCCCCACCGACCTGCCTTGTGGTATCAGTGGTAGCCCAGTGAAGAGAAGTCGCAAGGCATTCCTCCCCTTCTCAGCCAGGTGCTGTAAGTGGAGGCTACTGGACAACAGGAACTCCCACCCTCACCAGCTGTAATAAGGAATGCTTCCTTCTGCAATTACCTCAAAATAATTTTTAAAAATCTTTTCATTTAAAGTATATTTTTCCATTTAAAAAATGGAAAATCCATGAACTGGTCCTTTAAGTTTAATATATATGAAGGTGCTTCATTTGTCACATTAAGAAGAATGAATGACTTTATAAAGACCAGACTTAACCAGACCAATTTAATTTCCTTATAGAAGAACACAAGTGGCCTTTGTTATGTTTCCATAGTTTAAAGATAAGGTTTAAGTGTCCCTCCTCTTTGGTGGGTCCATGAGATGTGCCTGTACAGCCACATTCAGAGCACATGGCAGTCAAGGAGTTTTCCCTGACTTGGAAGGAATGAGCAGTGCTCTCCAGGATACAATTTTGGGCTAATGCCATTTTACATTTTTATTAATGGGCTGGATAAACAAATTGCATTCACATGAATCAGTTAATTAGTAAATTAAGGAGAACTAGCAACACCTGGGAATACAGGGATTTAATATTTAAGTGATATTGATTCAACAGGACAAGAATCCATGAAAATAAATGCTCCCCAAAAAGAACAGAATTTGGCTAGGTATAGTGGCTCATGCTTGTAATCCCAGCACTTCGGGAGGCCAAAGTGGGAGGATCACTTGAGCCCAAGAGTTCGAGACCAGCCTGGGCAACATAGGGAAAGCCCCATCTCTACAAAAAAATTTTAAAAATTAGCTGGGTGTGATGGTATGTGCCTATGTGCCTGTAGTCCCAGCTACTCAGGAGGCTGAGGTGGAAGGATCACTTGAACCCAGGAGGTCGATGTTGTAGTAAGCTGTGATGGCACCACTGCACTCCAGCCTGGATGACAGAGCAAGATCCAGTCACACACACACACACACACACATAACAGAATTTATCCTTCAAAAGGTATAAGAGAAAATGTGTATACTTAGAAACCAAAGGAAGGCTGAACAGATTTTTTAAAAGTAATACCTAATAGTATGTATTACTTTACTATTATGTTCACATAATAACAGTATTGCATTAAAGTTGTGTGGGCAAAAGCAGACTATCAGCCAAAAAATTATATGGAGTTGAGAACATGTCCTATAGCCAGCACATCTGCATCTTAGGAACTGGAAAACCCACCATGACTCTCAAATTTTTGCTTCCTCCTGTTGCAGTTCTTAAGTTTTAATTGGAAGGGTTTATTACCTAGTTCTTATTGAAACACCTCCCTTCTCCCCGCTTCTGCTTTTTTACATCATTCAATACTTTTGCAATTGTCACCAGTCTTCAGCTGGTGGGAGATATCTAGGCCGCATCCCTATCCTATTCCTTTTCTAGTAGCATACATGCATAGCAGTCTCAAACATATACAGATTCAAGAAAGAGCACAGTACAGTAGAAACCATGAGCGCTAGTCCTGTATCTTCCACCTACTATTTACGTAACCTTCCACAAGGCAGAATCACTCAGAGTCTCAATCTCTTCATTTGCAAGATGCCCTTTCCTTTCTCATAAGCTTTTTGGGATCTTTTGAAGTAAAATGTAAAAGCATTTTGAAAACCTACAAGTATAAGATATCATTAAAGTGAATTAAAGCCTAGTAGAACAGAATAGGGGTGGCTAATGATGAAACTTTGTTCCCACAGAGGAAGAAACAGATTCAGTCATTTATTTGTCAAATATATGTTGAATATCAATTATATGACAAGCACTACTCCATATACTAAGAATTCAAAAGGGTGATCAACACAGCCAGGTCTGTGCCCTCACAGAGCCTACATCTAGAGGAGGACAAAAAACAAACATGCAAACTAATAAGATAATTACAGACTATGAGAAGTCACAAACAAGGTGACATGGTAGAGTATTTGGAAAGTAGGAGTTACGATTTTCCTAGACATAGCAGTTAGGAATTACCACTCTGAGAGGCAGTTAGCCACATGAAAAGCTGGGGGAAGACTATTCTGAACAGGGGAAACTTTTAGTGCAAAGGTCCTGAAGCAGGAACGTGCTTTAAAAGTTGGAGGATCTAAAAGGCAGCAAGATGAGGAGGAGGGAGGTAGAGGCCAAGTCATGGAGGGCCTTATAGGTCATGGTAAGGGTTTAGATTTTAAGTGCAATAGGAAGCCATGGAGAGGGTTTTAAGAGAGAGAACAATATTATTCGATTTGCATTTTAAAAAGACCATTTGGTTACTCCATGGAGAATGGATTGGGAGGAGGGTATGGAAGCAGGGAGGCCAATTAGGAAGATACATAACAGTCCTGATGAGTGATATCAGTGCTATGGAGTAGGGTAATAACAGTGGAAATATAGATAGAAGTGAACAGATTCAATATTTTATGTTTTCATTGCAGAAGTGACCGAATGTGTTGGTGGAACAGATGTGGGGAAGAATCAAAGGTGACTCCTAGGTTTTGGCTTCATCAGCTGTGTGAATGGAGGGGCTATTCACTGAACAGATTGGACTGGGGAAGAAATAGTTTGGAAGAGGAGGAAAAATACATTGGTAGTCTGTGGAGGAGACAGAAAGTCAACATCATCAAGTTGAACTTGAAATTAAAATGGACTTGAACACTTATCAAACAATTCTTGATAAAAGTAGTAAGGATGCAATGAAATAGTGAATGAGAGTGTGTTGGAAAGAACAAAGCTCATGAAGGTCAAGGGAAGCCACCAGCTGTTCTGGCCCAGGCACAGGTTGAGATTAGCTGGGTTCTATAAGCTTGGGGCTGCCATCGGAATTCCAACTTTGGATTCAGTTGCAAGATAGTGCAATCATACACCCATTGTACACAGTAGGAGTAGGGGGAAAATTTCATTTATTCAAATATTTTGTGAGTACCTACTATGTGTCAGGCATTGTTCTAGACACTGGAGACATAGTCGAGAACAAGAGAGGCTGGGCTTAGAAGAGTTCCTCCCACCTTACCTCTCATGTTATACATATAGAGAGATTGAGCCCTAAGCAATTTTTCAGCACCATAAAGCTCATTTTCTGAGAAAGTGACCTAGAACGCAAGTGTCCCAAGACCTTCTTGCCCTTAGGATATTTGTGACTACATCCTCTCCAAAGTGGATAAAGTAGTACTTCTCATGACTCAGAGTTAGGAGTCTTGGGTCCTCATCCCAGTCCTGCGAATAACTTGCTGTGTATGTGATTGTGAATGAAATAGTCATTTCAGTTTTCTTGGTCTCAGAGACCTCATTTGTGAAAAAAGAAGATTTAGCTAAATATCAGTGGTTTTCAAACTTATTTCAGCAGTGGACCCTTTGTTAAATTAAAAATCTTACACAAAACCCAATATATGAGACATAAAAGTGGAGCTTCTCTGGGTGAAATGGGAATGGAGGGCTCAATAGTCCCACTCATCAAAAATTTACTCATAATTTATGAGTAAAATAAATTTCCTCATCTTACAAGGTAATTTCTGAGGCCCCTCTGCACAATTCCTAAAGTTTTGGGAAGTAGAAGTTTGAAAACTGCTAAGTTGGAAGATCTCCTGAAGGTGCCCCCAGTTCTAAGAGTCTGTTACTCTATGACAACAGCACTATAAACAGAAAAACAAGACATGGCCCATTACCTTAATACCTTAAAGGAGCTTAAAATCTAGTAGAAGAAATGTACTGTAAGAATCAATCAATCAACTTGGCTTATAAGCAGCTTCTGTGTGCATGAGACCATGCTAGGTATGCTGTACCACTTGCTACTTCACTTCAGTTGAAGACTCTGGCTCATGGCTCTCTGTCACCTGCTTCACCCCAAGTCCTGCCATTATAGTGGAAGACTGCAAGTCCCATAGACACCACCCATGGATGCCTCGGCATCGCTTCTTTCATCTCCTTCTCTCTAATTACCTTCTCATCTCTCCTATTTTGCCAACTACTTGCATGACCATATCATGAGTTGTCAGCAGCAGCAACTATTTCACTTCTGAAATATTAAAATTAAATGTTAGATTCCAGCTTTTCCTTTCTATATTACTTGGTCCCAGGGCAATCACAGTATCTGCAATTCCTTGTCTCTTTTTCTATCAGTTTTACTGATAAAAAGTCCTTTTTTTACTTGCTTCCAAATCTAACATAGAGTTTAGAGTTCATTATTTCAATCACTGTCTAAATAAAATGGTCAACTCTCTTACTCCTTTGTCCTTCCACTGCACTCATGTGGCAAAACCTCAACCCTGGATCAATCCAACTGCCTTCTGTTGACTATACTAAACTACTGAATGTTACTAAAGAATATCATCTATTCTCAAAGACAGATGTTCTCTAGCCTGTTCTCATCTTCTCTATGCTACCAAACTCTGTAGTAGTTTCCTACTGTCCAGACTCCCTAACACAGGTCTTCATGTCCCTTCATTATCAGGCCTCTGCCTGCCTCTTCATTCTCACCATCCCCTTCCCCATTTCGTCACTTCACACTCCATGCTATAGCAGCATAGAGGTCACTTTTAGGGCCTCAAACAAATCATGCTTTCTCTTGCACGTGCCATATCTCCCCTGAAAATTATTCTCCCATCTTTTTGCTTGGCCCCTGATTACTCAGACTTTTTCTAAGAATATTTTGGATTCATTACCCTGGGCCAGGGCCCATGCTTTGTGTTTCCATAGTACCCAGTACTGCCTTGTTTAACCATTTTTCTCCATCAGACTATGTGGACCATAAGGATAAGAAACTGTGTCTTATTTTGTATCCTCAGTACCTACCTACAGTGCCTGACACATAGTAAAATCACAATGTCTTGCCGAGTGTGGTTGTGTTATGGACCCATGATGAGGGCAGGCTGTGAAGAGAGGAATAGGAGACAAACAAGTAGGAAAACATTATGAGAAAAAAAGGAGAAGGAGGCAGATGGCAGATACCTAGACTTTTCAGAGTCCCAGTTATGGGAAGCAGATTGGACCAAGTCCTGGAAACAGGTGGCATCAAGGAGTTCTTAAGAGGGAAGGCCATTATCTTTCTTATGGCAAGGTTTCCCACCCCTAGATGAATTAAAGCTACATCCTTGCTCCCCAAGGCAAGTATCCCTGCCAATTACCCAAAATCACCTGGGTGGACTTTTGTCAGATTTGATTATTTATGTCAGCTCCTTCTTGAAGAACTTTCAGATTGACCATTTCATCTTCATTGCCACTTACTCAATGTAGGCAACCATCTCTTCATCTATCACACATATAGATTAATTGATCTATCTTCCATCTCCATTTTATCTAATAAAGAGATACTAGAACAATCTTCCTCAAAAATCCTGTAAGACACTGTTCCAGTGCTCAAGAACTAGACTTTCTTTTTCCCTACAGTAAACCTAAATGCTGTGATGTGGCTGCTTGGCTCTCTGTTTTTGTGACCGTTATCATACGCCTTCCCCATCATCTCTCCATATGCTCTCCCACATCTCCAACTAGGTTTCATGATTGTGAATCTTAGACTCAAAGCTTACTCTAAAGTTAAAAGCAACTTTTAGGAGGGCATAATATTCAGGAACCCCAAACTGGCAAAACAATCTCCTTCTATCTTTAGAACATTTACAGACATTTAGAACATGAATTTGTCTACACCTAGACTATATTTTCTCACTTCATTGATGAATGTATCCTTTGGTATGGTATATGTCAAAATGGACATCATCGTTTCCTTTTGATTATTTAGTTCTAAACTTTTTCCCAGAAAAAATTTGATTGCAACTATTAACTTAAGTGCCCAAGAAGATTGGTGCACTTGCCAAAACCTCGTGTTTCCATGAAAGGTACTTTTGGTTAAAAAAGTAGAGGTACAGGAGCTAGAGGGCAAAATTAACAAGATAGATAGACACACAGATCGATAGAGAGACAGATAAATAAGAGAAAAGTGGTCAAAAAATTATCAAATGCAATGTTAGAGACAGCAAAAAACAAACTGTGCAGAATATAGTCATAATTATATAAAAATATACACATATATGTGTACATATACAGAAAAAAGAAAGAAAAATTAGGATGTTAACATCTTTCCTGGGTGAGAATTAACAGTTGTTATAATCTCCTTATACTTTTGCATGCTTTCTAAATCTTCTAATAAAAGGAGATATACACACACATACATATATATATATATATTTGTTTTTGTTTTTGTTTTTTTGAGACAGAGTTTCACTCTTGTTGCCCAGGCTGGAGTGCAATGGCACGATCTCAGCTCATCACAACCTCCACCTTCTGGGTTCAAGCGATTCTCCTGCCTCAGCCTCCCGGGTAGCTGGGATTACAGTCATGCACCACCACGCCCAGCTAATTTTGTATTTTTAGTAGAGACGGGGTTTCTCCATGTTGGTCATGCTGATCTCCAACTCTTGACCTCAGGTGATTCGCTTGCCTCGGCCTCCCAAAGTGCTGGGATTATAGGCGTGAGCCACTGCGCCAGGCCGCATATACTCGTTCTTTAAAGGCAGGAAAAAAGTTTTAAAATGTAATAATATATCAAAAGACAAACTTTTTGGAGAATGCTTATAACTAATTTTTCCACTCACATAATTTGGAAATGAATATCAAATTATTATTATTATTTTGAGACAGGGTCTGGCTCTGTTGCTCAGGCTGGAGTGCTGTGAGTGACACAATCATGGCTCACTACAATCTCTACCTCCCGGGCTCAAGCAATCTTTCCACCTCAGCCCCCCGAGTAGCTGGGACTACAGACACACACCATCTCGCCAGGCTAATTTTTGTTTTTTGTAGAGATGGGATTTGCCATGTTGCCCAGGCTGGTCTCAAACTCCTGAGCTCAAGCCATCTGCCCACCTCAGTCTCCCAAAGTGCTGGGATTACAGACTTAAGCCACTGTGCCCAGCCGAATATCAAATTCTTATAATGATCAAGCCAAATAAAATATACCCCCTCCGAATAATTAATGTGATACAGGATTTTCCCAATTTACCAGAGTTCCTCTCTCTCTTCCTTTGGGCTTTGAATTTCTATTTCCAAAACTGGTTCATTAGACTCAGGATCTTTACAGATATTTTCACTTGTAATTAAATTAGAAGGTGCAGTTTTCCCCCTGAGAGTAAAATGATTTAATTGTGCAAATTCTTGTGAAAGCTTCAAGACCTGCAAAATTAAGTGAAAAGACAAATATTCTATTTTGCATACTTTTATTTATAGTTGTGAAAAAAGTATATTGATTTCATTAAATGCTTAACTATTGGCTTATATAATATCAAATGACATCCTAATTAAAGTCTGATTCCAACTTAATTTAATACTTTGCAGTTGTTATATAACTTAATCGATTTTTTTAACCATAGGCATAAGGGTATGTAAATTCCCATATTTTTTTTTTAAAAAAAGGTATTTTTGGTCTCTGGGGTTGGGCTGTCAGAGTGCTGTTTAGCATTTGGTTATACCTTTTAACAAGCACAAATATGTGATCTACAGAGTTTTACACTATTACCACACATTTTTGTTTTCAAGTTTTGAATGTACTTCATTGATTCACAAAAGCAATAATATATAATAAAAAGCAACAATATATTGCTGCCGGAAAACATTAGAAAGAATATTAGATATATCTTACAGAGGTGTCTTCTGTATCTATAAGAATATTAG